ATTTGTACTAATAGCATTTAGACAGGATATCATGACTGCATCTTGTACTATGAATAACCACTAAGAAGATAATAATATGCAATATATTAATTATGGAAATTGTCTTATTAATCATTTTTGAAACTGTCTCATTGCTATCTGTTTCTCAATAAAATTAATAAAAAAATATGCTTCTTGTTACATAGGTCTTGCTTTATCTTGGTCTTAACCATCCAGCAGAAATTTAAAAAATTGAGGTATAAGTAGTGAAGCCGTGTTGGTATGCTGGGCTATAAAGGGCTCAGGTCAACAGCTTCTGACATTGCCAGTCCTGAAAATGACCCACTACTATTACGGACTATTGGACTATATTGGAACATTTTGCTGAATTCATTCACCTACAGTATTTAAATGACAATGGAATACCCTTCTCTGACAAAACTAAACAAAAAAAGGGGATATAAATGAATGACCATTTTGAATCTGTATATACAAAATAGGATAGATATATAGCTACTTTCTCTTAATTCAATGAGAAGAAAGATTTGTACTAATAGTGTTTGAACAGGATATCATGTTAGTATTTTATACTATGAATAATCACTAAGAAGATAACAATATGCAATGTATTAATTATTGAAACTCTCCTACTAATCAGTTTTGAAACTATCTCATTGCTATTTGTTTCTCAATAAAATTATTAAAACAATAAATAAATACAAATGATATGAGGAAGTGGTGTCTGTAGGACTTTCCTAATTTCCTATTTACTTTCCTAATTTTGCAACTCTTCTTTACTCCCATTTAAGAAGCTTTACAAATTTTCATTATTCTGAATAAGTCAAAATTTATGCCAGGAGAATAGTAAAGAATAAGATGTCACACAATTCTGGAAAGATAAAATGGCAGAGCTAGGAAATTTTTAGAGTCAAGCCGTCTCATCTCACAGATAAATTGAGGCATCAAGTATGGAAATGTCTTCTCAGACTCGTAAAACATTACTGAGATCACCAGCTGGTTTTGAATTTGGCATAAGGTCTTACTGTTTTAGATTAAATGAACATTTGAGGTCAATGGGCAGTGAACTAGGAATTCAGATTTAACAGGTACTCCAGTTCAAATAAGCATCTTCCTGTTTGGCTTCCAAATGCCCCAAACTTTTGTTTTTGTCCTCCCAAATGAATTAGTCACAGTTTGGGGTTAGGTTCAGTCTAGTAGGAGGCAGCGGAATGACTTGAAAAATATCTGGCCAATGACTCTGTGGCCCAAAACTCCACATCAATCTCTAAAACCAAAATGATCTAGCTATGCTGTATGGTAGACAAAAACATTCAGTGAATCAAGACACTGACAGCTTTGCTCAAATACTACCTTAATCTCTAAGACAGCAATTTAAAGGTAAACCCAGAGAGACACAGAGCCCAAGAGAGGGAGGAAAAGAGAGCTACTCCATTGCTGGCCCCACCCAACCTTGGGACTCTTGGTTCACCCAAAGGTAAAGTGGACCATTCTTTCCCATGCTTAGAAAATTCTGTCTCCATCAGAGAGTTCCAACAGCTTGAACAGTCTTCTACTAGTAGTGAACTTTACTGTCCATTGTCCCATTCACTGGTAATGACAGCCCTACTCTTATTTTCCCTCTGGAGCTTGCAAAGGCTATGCTTATAAAATGATCAATAAAAATGTTTCTCATTATATTTCATGGTTCAGCATTAGACTGATAGTTGAGGTGGAGAGTGTAGGATAATGGGTTTACTCTGGAGTACTTTCAAAGACTTCAGTTTGGCTCTAATATTAACTCTCTTGCCTTACTCCAGAGTCCCCAACTCTAATACCAGCCTCCATTACGATTTCAATAAAACTGGGAGCCTGCAGCCAATGTTACTTTTCTTGTCTTTCATCTAAAAGGCTTCTCTATCATCCTAGGAAACCACACCAGGCTTATATTTTCCAAAACATTCCCTAGTTGCCTCAAGTCCTATCTGCTATTTGGTCGAGGCTGAAGAACTCCCAGATTCCTCATAAACTCTTAAAAGATACAAGCTCATTGCTCTCTTGATCTTTTCCCTTTTTCCTATAAACCAGACTTTAATTACTTGCCTTCCTCCCAGGAACCTTTTTGCCTGTCAGTATTCCCAGGCATAGAACACAGGGAAAGTTGGCTGCTCTCAAAACAGGTAGACAAGACACAAAATCTACTACTGGTGTCATGCAGAACTATATATATATCACAAAGTCTACAAAGATTGTAAATGATATGATCCAGTAAGGCCTAATTCCACTTTTCTACTACCTCTTGCAACATTTACCAAAGTGCAAAGACCCCTGATGTGGAGTTATCCTCTAAAAATAAAACCTACCCTTCCCATAGGTCCCCCATACAATCTACAGAACTTGGACCTATTAAATCAATATAGCTCTAGAGCTACCATGACATCAAACCTAATCCAGAACAATTTGGGTTGTGAGGTACCTCCAAACACTAAATTCGTAGATTTTTAGAGACAGAACTCATGTCAAATATTAATAGAAATAGATCATTACATAAATAGACTTGGACAATGTATCAATATCCTCCAGCATCATCCATATGGCTTTCGTGCAAATAGTGGCTGACTGAGGCATAAGAAAACCTCCTATTAGCTTTTTCCATTCTTGTGAGACACAAGGGCAGTGGCATAGGTGGCTAGGAAATTTTGAGTACACTGCAGTGTGGGCAGGCAGAGATATTTGAAATCTCAAGATCTAAATGCTAGCTTGGGAAATCTGAGTGACTTAAGAAAAGAAGAGATGAAGAGATTTTCTGGGAGTCCCAGAACATGGTAGAGTATTCCCAGATTTTCCTAAATAAAAACCTAAGGTGTTCCTGAGAGACTTCAGTATTAACATTAACTTTAGTGAATTCAAGATACATCATTGCAAGGATCCAAGCCAAAGTATTCTGAGACCCTGGGGACATACCAAATTTCTTCTGTCCTTTCCTGACCTATAATCTCCATAATTTAAGCCAGTAACCACAATTCTTCAGTGAACTTAGTCTGTTTCAGAGTACACACTAGCCACACCATTGCATAGACCACTGCCCCCTTCCTGATACACTGTGAGGTCTTGACCGGAAAGTCTTAGCCAGCCCTCCCCCTGAGTCCCCTATGATCACCTACTTTGAAGTCTGTTCCCCAGCAGTAAATCTCTTCCTGATAAAATAGTGGCATTTCCAAGTTTTTTTATGTACTCTTTAAGGCCCCAGCTCTAGGCCTGCTGGCAATACATAAACACCAGGGCCTAACTTCAACCCAGCCTCCATTTTTTACCTTCAAGTTTCACCCAGATTTGCTGCTGATGCCAAAGGCCAATAGCTTGCTTCCAACCACAAAGCAGGGCTCAGCAGGTGTCCCATCTCCTCAAGTAGTAAACCAGATAACAGTCTGAGGCACTAGCTGGGCTGTCTTCCCCAGAGCTCCTGAACTACATCAAAGCAGAGAAAAGGGTCGTCCCAGGTATGGCAGCAACCTTCACCACAAAAGTTGTTCCACACAGTCCATGGATCACTCTACTTCTCAGGAGGGATGGGTAGTTGTGAGGTTGCACTTGACAGCCACTGCCACTAGAACTTTCTTCAAGAGAGACCTGCATGCTGTAGCTATGCCAATGAGGTCAAAGCTCCAGGTCCCAAGACACTCAAAGCCCCTTGGCAGAGTAATACAGGGAAGTTGCAAACTAAAAACACATGTCCATGGTGGAGGACAGTGCATGAGGCTCTCCAAAAGAAATCTCATATGCATGTCCCACAATTCAATGATTTTATGTTCCTTAATCTCCAAGTCCCCTCAGATGGCAGAAGTATGTGTTGAAGGTTGGCAAGAGGAGAGAACTTCTGAGCTCAAAGGCAACACAAAGAAAAGCCAAGTTTTTAAGTTTTGAACTTGGGATAATGAAGTGCTTAGAGTTATGCTTAGGAGCCACCAGTGGGAGAGGGAAAGAGGGTATTCCAAGCCCTAAATTCAGTCCTAAGACCATTCACCAGAATCGCAAAGGGGCTTTTCTTGCAAAGCGAGATGACTCCACTTTTCCAAGCTCAGGGCCCCTCCGAATGCCAGAAGTGTGCATGCTCATCGTCTTTTGGCCACTGACCTGGAGAGCGAGGGCTATGCCCTTACCTTGTTAGTCTTAGGGAAACAGATCAAGTCAGCCCCAAGTCAAGGTGGGAGTGGCAGGGCTGGCACTCTGACTTCATCGGATAGTATAGAGGCTAGGGGTGCCTGGGAGGCCACCGCTGAGGTTGGGGGTGGTGCACAGTGAGCTGCAGAGCCCAGCCTGCTTGCAGCCGCCTCCTCCCCTTTGGCAGGAGACCGCGGAGACCGCCTCCCAGCCGGCTTTGGGGCTCGGCTCAGAGGGCACCAAGATCTGCTTGTTACCCCAAGGCGACCGAGGATAAGCAGGCCTGGCTGGGCCATAACCACTGCAATGAAAGAGACATGCTCACACCCACACTCACACTGTTTCTCCCTTTCTCTCCTGCAGACATACACTCCTGCCTTGTATTTCACTCTAAGCAAACAGTCTAAGTGAAGAGTCCCCAATATTGCTCCGCTCCACCAAAGCAACTGGGGCTGCTGCGAAGATCTGCAATACAGTGTTTCTCTCAGAGCCCGCCCACCTTCCAATTCTCTCTAGTCACAGACCACCCCCCAATAGTGCAAATATTTTTCTCCATACATATCACAAGCAAAGTACTTCAAACAAATCCAAAAGGTGAGTCTGGGTTTGTCCCAGAGCAAAAAAGTTCATTGATTGCCTGTGATCAATAGATGTCCTGGTTCCCACACCCAGGATATCTTGCTCTTAGTCTCTACAGGAGAAGGTGCTCAGCAACCCGCGCCCTAGCAGGGCCATGGGCAGAGAGCAAGGGAAGTAGTAGCAGGGACGCTCTGGAGAGGCACTTAGAACCAGAAGGTATGGGGGCGGCAGCGAGAGCAGGCACCCATGCCCACAATGCAAAGTGGGGTGCCTGGGCCACTCACCTGCTTGGAACTCCACTTGACGATTTTTCTCTTTTTCCTCCTCTAGCAGCATGGAGTAGAGGATCCCCACGGAGTTATGGATGCCGAAGATGGAGCCGTTGCACCAGGTGGCTGCGAACACCACCATCCAGCCAAAGCCACCTTCAGGGGGCTCGAAGCCACGCACTGTGCCGCGGGTCTCTACTGTGGGCGTGGGGTCGGGTTCGTGCACCGACTCCGGCTCAAATTCTAGCTCAGGCAGAGGTGCAGGGTCTGGTAAGGGCTGGGGCTCCGGTGGGGTTACTGGCACAGGCACTGGTTCAGGCTGAGGCTCGGGCTCAGGCCCTGGCTCTGGACTACCCTCCGGTTCCTCTTGTTCGTGGTCTGCCTCCTCCCAGGGCCCCTTGGCTTCCTCGCTCGCTGGGCTTTGTAGCGCCATCGCGGCTGGGGGACTGTGGCTGCTCGGGCCGGAGGAGCCGCTGTTTGGCTGGTACTTGTTTCTGCTGCTGCTGCTGCTGCTGCTGCTGCTGCTGCTGCTGCTGCTGCTGCTGCTGCTGCTGCTGCTGCTGCTGCTGCTGTTGCTGCTGCTACTACTACTACTACTGCTCCGAACGTTGCTGCTGCCGCTGCCTTCTCCTCTCGGCTCTGCACCCCAGCTGGCTAGCCCGTCCCGCGACAGACGTCCCACGAGCCTTCTCCTCCTCCACCACCCCTATCCAACCCCCCTCCTCCTCTCCCCATGTCATCTCTCTCCTCCCCCTCCTCCTCCTCCCACCTCTTCCTCCCTCCACAGGCAGCCGCTACAGCCTCGGCTCTTCTCCCTGGCCCTTCCTCCTCTTCTTACTTGTCTATCTACTATAACCATCGCCGCCTCCCCTAAACTCTTCCCAACTACTGAATCCTATTCTTGTCCAGATGCCCAGTACAGAAAGAACTAAAATAGAAAAAGGAGCTCAAACTATCCTGTTGTCCTGCGCCCTCCACACAGGCTCTGAAAACAGCATTGATCAACCCTGAGTCTCCTGCTTGTTCTTTCCTCCCATTCCTTTCTTCACACGCAGCTTGCAGCCCAGGTGGCCCCCAGGGACCTCAAGAGAAGAGCTACCCAATGAAGGACCCCACCCTGCCTTCAGAAATCCCTATGTCCCCACTGAGGCTCGAAGGGGCCACCCGCAGTGGACAGCCAGAGCCTCGGACACGGGGTGAACACAATCTTCTGGAGCCCCTGGCTCGGCCCCTCACTGACCCGTGCAACCTCCAGTCTGCCCCCTACCCCCGCTCTTCCCCGCAAATCCTGGCCGGAAGGGGAGGGAAGGAGGCGACTTCTCAGGGAGGCCCGCCCCTCCGGGCAGTCAATCAGGGCTTTGTTTGCGCCAACCTGAAGCCCAGAGGAGCCGCAGAGGGCCGGGTGTGGGCCGGGCCAGGGCAGAGTCTGGGCGAGGGGCCGGCCTGGAAGGGAGGGAGTTTCAGTGGCACCGGAGGGGTTAGGGGTCAGGCCCAGGCTGGAGCCGGAGCTCAGTTCTGGCTTCTCTTGGCTTTGTCCGGGACTGGGGAGAGGGAAGTAGGGGTCGGGTCGGGCTGCCAGGTTGGGCAAGAGCTACCCCCCACCATCCTGGCTAAGCTGGTCCCCCGGATGCTGAGAACTCCAGGGAACCTCAAGTGGAAGGATGTCTTCCCAGCACTAGCACTAGCTCCTTCCGCCCACCTTGTAAATAGAGTTGTGGGAGCCCCACCAAATAAATATCCCAGACTCAGGCCCCAGCTCTAGGCTAAGGGAGAGTTTGCCCCCAGAAAGTGAGTCAGAAGGAGGAGAGGAGGGGTGGAGGCTCTGTCCTGCAGGCAGCGGAGCTCCTAGCCTGGCGTTGCTGGTGCCCAGCTTCAGCACTCACCAGCCCCACGATTACAAAAGCGCTGCTTCCCTTAAGGAACTGCACGTTTAATGCACTAAACATGAGGCCACAGTGTTGTTACTAAGCTACTCAGCTCCCCTCTTCCTCTCCCCATGTCTGGAAGGCGCCAATCCTGCCAGATAAAAGACTACATGCCCAGTGGAAATGCCTCTCAGGGCTGGCTGTCCTCTTCCAAAGCCAAGGAACAGTCATTAAACACCCGAGGGCAGAAGCTGGGTGGGAGAATACAGCAGAGGCATCTTGAAGAGTTTAACTCAGCCAAATTCACAAAGCACCAGATGATGCCAGTAAGTGAAGCAGTCACTGTGCAAACGCAGAAAGCACATTCTTTATTGCCCTCAGCTAAGTATTATTGCCAGCCTTTTGCAAACACACAACACAAGCAAAACTGTGGTCAAGGCATTTATTAGTCCAAGATTATGGGCTTTGATTTCAATGACAAACTGGAATTCAAGATAGGACTCCCTTTAGCACACTTCATGCTCCTTCCCATCTTCACTGCAGGAATCTAAAACTTAGTACTGGAGGAAGGACACAGAGAAGAGAAGGCAGGATCTGGCTGAGGTATCCAGTAGTAGGCTTCTGGAGTAGGCGATATCCAAGTTGGGCCTGGAATAGTGGGTAGTATTCTAACAGGCTGGGTAGGGGGAGTACCCCGCTTGGGAGCATGCTCTGAGTTCAAAGCACAGAGACATAGAAGGACTCCACTTATAGACATATGGAAGAGAAAGCTAATCAGGCCAAAAAATTAATTGTATATTGCCTATCTGAGAAAACATTTGCATTTTAATAAATATTCACAATGCTTCATCCATGAGGAATGACAGAAAAGTCATGGACACAATTGGCACTGGAGTTTAATGTTTCCATTTAGTCAGCAATTTCACCATATATGTGTTCCGTTGTTGTCCTAGAGGAGTACCAACCTTAGTATTCACTTGTAGATGTCCAACACTAGAAGTAGGAATAAACCATGGCATTCTGAACCCCATCTGAATACTTGCTGTGTAGATTCTACTTCCCTCACCATTTAAGTGGCTTGGGGGTGTCACTGGAATAGAGATAACAGTCACTGCTAACACCCATAGCAATATGGTAGGTCCTCTACATATATAATCTCATATAATTTTCATAATAATATTGAGTTAAGATTATTTGTCCTTATTTCGTAAGTGAAGGAGTAGAAGTTCCAAGAGGTTAAGTCAGTTAATTCTACAAGGCCAGTAAGAAGAACGGGTATCTTTGTTCATTTGTCTGAGTTTCAAATTATGTGCCCCACCCAGGAAACTAGATTATGTAATCGCCAACCCATCATTCTAGCAACACATGCAGTACCTATCTTTGTACCCTTTGAAGAAAATACAGGTACTGTATAGTGGCTAAACACTGTATCAGGAGATCAAGGTCATAATTGTGGTTCTATCATTGTGTGCCTATGTGTGTAATCTTAAGCAATTTGTTTTTCCTTTCTGAGTCAGTTTTTTATCTTCAAAATAAAGTTAATGCTTACTTTGTAGAATTTCTGAATGTCATGCTGAGAGGCACAGACCTCATTTTTATATATACAAGTGCTATGGTTTGATTAATTGTCTTCAAAGGCCCATGTGTTAAAGACTTGGCTCTCAGCCTATAGGGCTATTGGAAAGTGGTGGCACTTCTGAGAAGTGGGGCCTCCTGGAGATAGTTGGGTTACTGGGGGTATGCCCATCAATGGAGATAATGAGACCATTATCTCTCTCTCTCACTCTTGCTCTCTCTCTGTCCTTCCTTATAAATTGATTCAGATATTTTTACTCAATCACAGAAAACTGTCTAACACAGTAAGATTTCTACTGAAGATTTTTGGAAAGGAGAGTAACTTCAGAGCTGCACCTTAGAAATCTGGGGTGGCGGTGAAGAGTATGGCTTGGAAAGATTAGAGGTAATGACAGCAGGCATAAAATACATGGAATTGTCCTTACAAATATCTAAATTAGACTTGGTCACCCACAACAGCAGATCTTTAGAGAATACCTATTATATATAGACTCATCATCATGCTCTCACTAAGTGACATATGGCTCCTATAGCCCTTCATTTTACTTGTTTATCTGTGACCTTCAAAAAACCTAGGGGAGATCTCCAAGTTATACTTCAAGTGGGAAACTTTGCTTTCCTCCTATCCCTCACACAAATGGGCCAACAATGAAATTATTACTTATGCTGTTGATTATTCAAGTGAGAGGATGAAGCAGATTAGTGGTTCCTTAATCTAGTTGCATATTAGAATCACTTAGAGAGTTGTGTAATGATTCTGATATTATAGTACTGAGGATTGAACCCAGGACCTGTGCACTGAATTACATTCCCCAGCCTCTTTTATTTTTATTTTGAGACAGGATCTTGCTAAGTTGTTAAACTACCAAAGATGGCCCTGCAATTGAGATCCTCCTGGCTCAGCCTCCAAGAATGCTAGAATCACGATCCTGTGCCAGCACACCCAGATTCAGTACCAACTCTTAAGTCCTACTCCGCGCATGAATCAGAATATCTGGAGGTGGGACCAAGGAAAGCATAGTTGAACAAGATCCATAGTAGTAGTGATTTATAACCAGGTCTGGAAAAAACTAGATAGAATCAATGGCTCCTCAAAATTTGGATCTCAAGGACTAGTAAAATTGTTCTAAAAATTTCCCTCCAAATTTTAGGGATCTTATACAATGATACCAACTTTAAATGTAGTCATTACTATCATGCTCTTAATAAAATTATATTTTAACAGAAAAGTATACAAATTGTACAGAGAACACAGTGATTTACTGAGGAAAGTATTTCTCAAGAGAAGTAAATTGGCAACAAATTTTCTCATGTGTCAGCAGGCTGATGAAAATGTCACAGGCAGTCATGGATATACAGATATATCCATGGGATATATCTTGGGCTTGGAAGATCTTGGGTCTGCTAAGTCCAGAAAGCTGCTCTGTTGCTAAACTTGTCTATATTTGTACTATGAATAACCACTATGAAGACAACAGTATGCAATGTATTAATTATTGAAACTGCCCTATTAATTGGTTTTGAAACTGTCTTATTGCTATTTGTTTCACAATAAAATTAATTTAAAAAATAAAGTTTTCTATTTCAGGCCAAATGCACCCCCTTGTTTTGGGCTTTTCCTGTGTTCTAATAGAATTTTCTAGACTGAAAAGAAATCCATAGGTCATTCACATTTCCCTTACCCTGTGTCCAAATGATCTTAATAAGTACCTGAGAATGGATATCATATTTAGACTATTCTCCAAAAGGTGAATATATATTGTGTCTTTGTTTTCTTTTCTTTGTTCATCTTTATAAGGGTAACTTCATGGTTCTGATGACACATCACCACCTTGGAGCCAAGAGCCAAATGGGATGGGCTGTGAAAAGGAGCCCAGGGTGCTCTGGTCACAACAGCAACAATAACAACAATGAAATTCAAATACAAAGATAATTTTAGTTTTACTATCTGTCTTAATTACTTTTTTATTGCTGAGACAAAATACCTAACATTCAAAGTTAAAGGAGTAAAAGTTTGCTTAGCTTACAGTTTATAGAGGTTTTATTTCAAAGTGGGCTGGCTCTAAGGCAGGGTGCCATGGTTACTGCAAGGGAGAAATAGCTCCTGGTAGGTAGAAAGCAGCAAAGCAGTGAAGTAATTGAGAAGCAGCAAGTGACACTAGAAAAATGTTGAAGAGAGTTTTTCAAATCTTCTTTTTTAATTAACATTTTTTTATTCATTCAAGAGATATCCATTCAAAGTCTGCTATGTG